ATAAGTAATAAAAAATTTATTCGGTAAGGAATAAAGATTCAGATATGTCTGGTACTTTGAATTGTGAGAGGAAAAGATTGGTAGTGATTTTTGGGATCGCTTGGATAAATTTTAGTGAAAAGCTTTCTATAACAATTTTTTGTCTTATCAGAAGCTTTCTATGCTGTGACATTCACAGAAGAAAAATTTGTGTTTATTGAATCTAATTGGCTTATACTAAAAATGAAAAACATGACATCTTTAATCTTTGTTATTAATGCACTTAGAAACGTTCTAAATTGTCTTATAAGCTAAAAATTTATGATAAAATTAGACATAAAATATTTTTAAATTTTTTTATATTTTTATAAATTAATTTTAATTAATTCAAATATATTCGAATTATTTAGAAAATTTAATATTATTCAAAATTAAAAAAAAATTTACAGGCTCTTTAATAGACTTAGTATAATATGTTTTCTATCGCACTTTATTCATGCTTTCAAAAAATTCATTATGATTTTTTGATAAATAATATTCTGTTGCATCAAGTAATTCATTATCAGATAGATATATAGAATTTTCAATTAATGATTTTACTATTTCTTTTACTGTTAACTATTAATAAAATTTAAATTATTATTAGTAATTTATTATTATTAAATCTTATATCAAATATCCGAATATATTTAGAAATTTTATAATTTTTATTCAAATTTAACAAAAAAACAAAAATACTTTAATAAAATTATTTTTGTAAGCAAGATCAAAACTTTCTAAATATCTATCTTCAATTTGATCTAATCACCTTTCAATTCTATCAACCTTTTTGAAAAGTTCTTTTAATAAAGTGTTATTTTCTTTTAATGAAGCCAAAATACTTGGAAGAGTATTTTCTAAAATATGATATAAAAATTAAATTATTTTACTAAATAATTATTAAAATTACTAAAGTGAAAAATACCATCAGGAATTCTTAAAACAGATTTGCCTTGAGGTGGAATGAGCTGTCTTGAAGCAGTAGTATCTGTAGTTTCCTCAGTATTACTTGTTCCTGCGGAAACACATCGTGCAGTACCAGATAAAATACTGGCAAAAAGATTTCATGTTTTTTAAACTTTTTTGGCATATTTAGGCATGTTTATTTACTGACGGAATATAATTTAAAAGAGATAAATTTGATAATATTTTGAATTAATGCGAATTTAATGAAATTAATAGAAGGGTGTAAATTATATTAAGTGAAATGGCAATACAATACAAATTTACAAAAAACTCTTTCCACTGATCTGCAATTTTTAATCAGTCAAAACCAAAATCAACAATTATCTCCAAATCTAGTATAAGAAACAAGGTATCTTGTACTAAGTGAAAAGAGAGAGCACTTAAAATAACCTATAGTTTATTAG